CGTCAGGGCAAGGACATCGTCGGGTTGCCCTAGGTCGGCCGACAAGCCTAGGGCGCCATCCTTGGTCATCGAATCAAGGGATGAGTAGCATGTGGATTGGAAGAGAGGGTAAAAGAGTTGGAGTAGATTGATTTTATCGATTGGATAGGTGGGAACTCAATCGGCCATAATCCTCTCATATATATATATATATAGAGGGGGTGGTCTTATCCTAGTAAGAAACCTCTCCAAGACTTATTTTCTAAGTTTCCCACGAGTTTGGAATAGTTCGGATCCGAATCCAAAAGGCCAGATCCGAACTGGGTTTTTTATTAGGTCTGCCAAAAGTTCTGACCTCCGACTTGGGTCGGAACTTCCGGCAACGGAGCATGTTCTTGGGGGCATAACTTCTTCATCTGGACTTCGAATTAGACGTTCCATATATAATTTTTGACCATCTTAATGAGAGTAACACAATGATGTAGTCCATTTCATATTTTGACAACTTCACAAAATGAACAATTTTGTTTGTCAACATATGACCCCCGTTTTCAGACGAATGATGCATGAACCTGAAAACACTTAATCAAACAAAACCGAACAGCGACGATACCCATCTCATCGGCTGCTCAGCGACTAAGTGCGATGTATACATCGGCCATATTTGTTCTAAGGGCGATACATGTATCGGCCATATGAATTCATCCACAAGAGCATGCATAACCAAAATAAAATATTTCGGCTCTTGATCATCGATAAGAAAAATAATTAGGCAACCGTCCATAATATAGAGACCCATACCAAGGATCAAAATAAGGAGCTGAGGGATAACCTTACATACCTGTGAATAAATTCCATGTAGACATAGGTAGAGAATATGGATGATGCCATGACCAATAATTTTGATGATTTGGAGCAAACCGCCAACTTGGCAATTGTTTCTTGAATATCGGTCTCTCCTTTGCACCACTTGCCTGAATATCATCCGTCTATGCTTGAACACTCTTTTTAGGAGCCCATGCTAAGCCCTTTTCACTCAGCTTTTCTGCACTAAGCTTCTGCAACTTCTTCTTTTGCCACTTTGATACACCGAGTGAGCATCTCGGTTTTGTTCTTGTTTTGGACAGCGGCAACTCTTTCTTGATTATGGGCACTCTCACCTTCTTTTGTTCAGATTTGGCATCTAAAATATTAATAGATGATTTTCCCACTCCTTTGCCATCAATAGCCAGATATTTTAGCAATGTAATCGGCATTTCAATAGTTGAATTTAAATCTGAACTTTTATCCTTGCAGACATCATACTTCACACGGTAAATCTGTTTTATGACTTTCTTCTTTGGTTGAGCTCTAGACCGATTTTGATCAAAATGGATTTTGCAATATGATGATTTCTCTAAATATTTAGGAGCTGCATACTCTATGTAACTTGGCCTAAAATGTGGTGGAACATGTGCCTCATGGTCAAACCAACCCCAAGAAGAATAAGGATGAAAACATGTGGGTCGTGGTCCATATCACATAGGAATCGGCTGCTCGAAAGGAGAATATGTTGCTGCTATGTGAGATCTTTCTCATTGCCAATTCCACTATTGAGACTTGTGCTTTGGAGGCAATTTTGATGATTGGACCTTCTTTGGCCGATTGGTGACATTTGCTTCTGCTTCCTTCTTGTATTTAACTAGAAGTTCTTCGAAGCTAAGCTTCAACCTTCTAGTCCTCTCCTTGTCCTGGCCTTTACCTCCATCAGCACTATGGGCATCCTCCCTCTTCTCCCCATCTTCGTAGACATAATCCAAAGGATGATCCTTAGCCGATTTCTCTTGCTGAATGGGATCAATCGGCCTTTGTTTTAACTAGAGAGATTTCTTCTGCCCCCTAGTGTCAATGACCCTGTCTTCACTTGAGGGCTCCACATCACTCTCTTGGACATTTGAGCCTTGAGCTTTGAGTGAATCAACTAATGGTAGCCGATTTGAAACTTGTTTGCCATCAAGACCAATTGATTCCAATTGTCCCACTTGCTGAGCTTCAGAAAATCTCAATCGTCCTTTATCAATGGTCGATTGGATCACTCGACGAAACATATTGCAATTAGAAGTATTATGATCAAATGAATTATGCCACTTGCAATATGTAAGCTCTTCAAAGTTTTGAAGTGATGGCAAAGCTTTGTGATCAATGAGCCTAATAAAATTATTCTTTAACAAGATATCAATGACATGATCACAAAAGGTAAAGTCAAAGGTGTACTTTGATTTCTTTAACCGACTCTTTTGTGGAGTCGGCCTTAAAGCTAGGCAAACAAAGGGATCAGATTTAACATCAATCCATTCGACCACACCTTTGTAATTGCCTTTATTACTAGATGTTTTAGAATTGATCATAAAATTTACATCGGTATGGGCAATATTTTTTAATCTTGGTTCCGAATTATTAAACCCAAAATAATTACAGAATTTGTATCTCCTATGGGACCAAGTATGAACTAAGTTTAAAACAAGTAAAGCAACCCACATAGATATAGAATCCAAGGTAAACATTTGGGAAAGCTTTAACTTTGACAAAATATTGCCATAGGCCTCTTGATAAGGGACAATATGTTGGCCGATGCAATCTGAATTTATTTCATGATCAACAAGTAAATTACTTTCCCCAATTGGTCTCCTAGATGTAGCAATTGAAATAATATGACCAGATTGGGAATTTGGTAAAATACTTGCACCTTGTACTTTGTTAATCATGCCGGAGAAGTACATGTCCTTGATTTGCATGACGTTGCCCTTTATCTCCAGAAAACAATTTGTAGGGGCTTGATCTCCATCAATGATACGGCAATTATCAGATAAACGCACAACCCCTTTAGCACCAGAAAAATCAAGTCTAGCCAATTTCTTGTGCTCCCCCTATTTTGATACAACTAGACTTGTTTCTTGAGAAGGAACCGATTTGGATTGGATATTGTTTTGTTCGGTCTTGTCAACCGAACTCTCGCTTATATCCAAAGTAGCTTTAACTTCAAGATAGTACTCATTAGATTTCTCCTTCCGAGTAAGAGAAGCATCGTATAATTTATTAAAACAAATATGCCATTTAATACTTCCATGCTCAGGGAGAGTAGGCATGCCATTTAAAATTTCAGTAATTCGGCTTTTTTTAAATTAAAGCTGAATCATGAATATTAACTTCTACATGTGGTGCTAAATTTGTATTGATTCGGCTATGGTTACTAGTTACACGTGAAGCCAAATCTTAAGTATTAGCACTTGAACGCCTTGTTGAAATTTCATTAATTCGGCCATAATTCTTATTAATATATGAGGCCGAATTATTAGCATTAGCATTTGCATATGATGCTGAATTTGTAGGCAAAACCTTCGATCTATTGGCACGTCGTGCATCATATGAAATTTGAGAATAATTGGCTAAATAATCGGCATTACCATAACCAATTCTCTCATTCATCGGCATGTCTTGTGGTGGAACCACATATTGCGAACTTATAGCCGATGAATCAGGATATGCATGTTGTATGTTGCTAGTAGAATAAAAACTCAAAGAATTCATAGTTTACATCAGCTCTTGACCATAATATCCATGATGCGTATGATGAGGACTATTATCAAAAGCATTAGCCGATGCAATATATCTATTACTAGTAACTAGCAACACCAACATGAGAGTTCATATTACTTGCAAAATAATTCTTATAACCATAAGATGCATGTGCAAGCTGTACCTCGGGGTAATTGTAGTAATTTGGTGACGCAACACCCTAGTACTGCATGATTTAGAGCTTGACCACCTTGCTGAATTTTCCAATAGCAAGTGCAACACGTTGGAAAATAGTAAACGGGATCACAAGGGGTCAAAACCAAAAGCGATCGGCCTTTTGGGCCGAGAACCTTAAATGACAAGCACAAGAAGATAAATCAGCAAAGAGTAGGGCTAGGGTAAGAAGATTCGCCTACAAAATAGAGCCGAAGCAAATTCTTCCCCAGCGGAGTCGCCAAAAAAGTGTGTTGACGCCGGATTGATCTCGGATCACACACTAGCTAGGGCTAGATCGCCCGGGTCGCCATGCACCGAAGAATGCAGTAGGTAACCAACACACTTTCGTGGTGAAAAGCGGCGAGGTTTACAAGCAAACCACCAAAGGATAACCAACATACTTGCGTGATGAAGAACCGGCTAGTTTTCAGGCAAACTAGCAAAGAAACCGCCGAAGCTTTCGCCCGGGAGGGACCCCGTCAGGGCAAGGACATCGCCGGGTTGCCCTAGGTCGGCCGGCAAGCCTAGGGCACCATCCTTGGTTGTCAGATCAAGGGATGAACAACATGGGGTTTGGAAGATAGGGTAAAAGAGTTGGAGTAGATTGATTTTGTCGATTGGATAGATGAGAACTCAATCGGCCATGATCCTCTCATATATATAGATGGGGGTGGTCTTATCCTAGCAGGAAACCTCTTCAAGACTTATTTTCCAAGTTTTCCACGAGTTTGGAATAGTTCGCATCGGAATCCAAAAGATTAGATCCGAACAGGGTTTTTTATTAGGTCTGCTGGAAGTTCCGACATCCTTCCGACTTGAGTCGGAAGTTCCGGCAACGGAGCATCTTCCCGGGGGCATAACTCCTTCATCCGGACTCCGAATTGGAGGTTCCATATATATTTTTTGACCATCTCGACGAGAGGAACACAATGATGTAGTCCATTTCACATTTTGACAACTTCACAAAATGGACAATTTTGGTTGTCAACCAATGTTTTAAATCTCCCGTTATAGCTGCCACTATAGCCCGCTATAGCCTTTTAAGGCAAGGTGCCGTTATTTGTGTTAATGTACAATTTAGCCGCTATAGCCCGATTTAGCTCCGCTATTATCTGATTCAGAGGTATGCTGCTAAACACCTTATCCCGCTATTTAAAACTATGTTGTGAACACACTCCGTCGTCAATGGCTCATATGCCACGCCGTTCTTTGTGGCACGGTTCCGAGAGGCGCTGTTCTACTGCTCGGCGATGTTTGACATGCTGGACGCCACGGTGTCACGGGACAGTGATCTGCGCTTGGCGGTGGAGCGTGACCTCATCAGCCGGTGCGCCCTGAATGTCGTCACCTGTGAAGGACACGACTGGGTGGAGCGCCCAGAGACGTATAGGCAGTGGCAGGCAAGGAACCGCAAGGCAGGGCTGAGGCAGCTGCCGTTTTTTCCAAATGCTGAGAAGATCCTGAGCGAGAAGATGAGGAACGAGTACCACAAGGACTTTGTCATTGACGTCGAAAACGATTGGCTTCTACAAGGCTGGAAGGGCCGCATACTTTACGCCATGTCTACGTGGGCTGCAGATGACACCATCTCAGAATTGTCGTAGCTGATTGCTGAAACTTTAACTGTTGTGTATTCTGCTGTTTGGGAAGAGTTGCTGGCCAAAAGACCCGCTTGGTGCGGTGACAAATATTATGAACTTTATTACACTGTTGTGATGGTTTCTGAACACAATGAAACAATTGTTGAAAGATACAAAGACATAGAAAACATTTTTTATTCAAATAACTTTTCAAATGATGATTTAGAGAATAAAGTTTAGAAAGACTCATAAAGATGCTCTAATAGCTTACCTATATGGTGTACATAGCCATTTATATTTTATATCTTTGGCTAGCGAGAAATCCGAAATAAAGGATAACAATATTTAGAGACTAATTAGAAAAGCTATTAAAGAATATATATGTTTTTATCATAATCTTTATTCTTATTAACTAGGAATGATATAAAAAGGTTTTTAGAGTTGCTCTTAGTGCGTTTGAAACCTCATTTGGTCTCGTCTTCTTTTGTCCCTTGCTCCACTATAGTACGTCTACGGATGACAAAAATAATAATGCAGTTCCGGTCGCAGTCGCATCTGGCTGCCTAGCTAGCTTCCCAGAAACTTCTCTTCTTCAGCTGCTCCTCTGTAGTTTGATCCGTCTAGCTAGCTTGCTGTCTAGAGGCTTGCGTCGTCGTCAAATCAAAGGTTTGATTTTTATGCACCCTCCCTCTCTTTCCATTATTCCATTAATTATTCTCATTTCGTTTTTCATCACGCAATGGAACGTCAACAACCACAGTGAAGTGATGAACACGAAAACCCCGGCCGGTGGCTGGACTCGTCGTCCACCAACTCCCTTTGCAGTTTAAAGGTTCCATCAAAGCTTTGCTTTTTATGCACTCAGACCCACCAAGCAACAGCAGGCCGACCCTCATTCTGTTTCAATCCTCCTCTTGATCTTCACCATGCGTCTAGCATCACCACTCCACGAGTAAGCAGCAAGTGAGCTACGTAGCCATGGCATCCGAATCTGCAGGGTACATCGCCGACCCCGACGAGCAGCCCTTCTCTCCCTCTGTTTTTCTTAACCTGCCCCCAACTCCTCCCGATGATGGGCAGGACCCGGTGGTCTCGTCAGACGACCTCGTGATCCCCTTCATCTCACACATACTCATGGACGACGACGACAAGCTGTCGTACCAGTGCCCTGATCACCAAGCGCTACTCCAAGCTCAGCAGCCCTTCGCTGAGATCCTATCCGACACCACCACCACCACCAATACCAACGTAGCGACCAGCACCTTCACCGTCTCGCCCTTCTTCCCCAATAATGCCGTGTCCGCGTTCGGAACCGCTACCTGGCCCTATGACCCAGTCGAGCTCTCCCTACATCTCCTTTCTAGGACTCCGTACCACGTCCCCGACAACGTCAGAAGAACCGGACGCGATGGCCTCACCCTAACCACGGGTGATCATGGTCGTGCCAACACCACCTTCTTGCCCGAGCAAGATAACAACTACACCACCAGCGTGGGACAATTCCGACGACAGAACGCAGACAAGGCAACCATGGACATGCTCAACCAGGCATTCCGCAAGGGTATGGAAGAGGCCAACAAGTTCTTGCCCACCACCAACATGCTCCCCATCCACTCAGAGGCCATCTCTGGGTCGTCTAGGGAGCACCTGTCTAGAGACAGACACAGGATTGCCGATGGACAAGTGAAGGAGAAGGGGATTGTTGATGGGATCACGTCATCATCAATGTTACAAGAAAGTGGTAGCGATAGCATAGCCTGTAAGAAAGACCATAACCGCTGGGACGACTTGGAGGTCGAGATGGACAGAAAAATGGCGGACTTGAGCATTATTGCCGTGATAGCACCAGAGTCAGATCAAACCAGGGAAAAGATAGACAAATTTGTTTTGATCAAGTACCAGTCATTACTCGACAAGATGATCGCCGTGGACATGGAGGCTGAGAAGAATGCCAACAAGGGCAAAAGGAAGTCCGTAGCGGTCACGAGCAATGAGCCTGCCGTCGACTTGCGCGCCCTGCTCATGCAATGTGCTCATGCCGTGGCCACAGGAAACCGTCTTGGTGCCACCGAGCTGCTTTACAAGATCAAGCAACATTCCTCGCCAATGGGAGATGCCACACAAAGGTTGGCACATTGTTATGCTCAGGCGCTAGAAGCACGTTTGGATGGCATGGGAAGCCAGTTGTACAATTCACTCATGGTGAAGCAGCTCACCTCAGCTAATGAGTTCCTCTTCCTCAAGGCCTATCAGCTCTGCGTGCCAGCTTCTTGTTTCAAAATGATGGCGTTCATGTTCTCCAACCTAACCATCCTGAAGGCTGTCGCCGGTAGGGCTAGGAGAAAAAAGGTGCACATTGTGGATTATGGTGAGCATTATGGGTTCCAGTGGCCGACCCTGCTTGGCAATTGGGCAACTTTGCAGGAAGAAGGACGACCACTGGAGGTGAGAATCACCTGCATTGTCCTTCCTAAAACCGGGTTCCGCAGCATTGTCTCTGGAGAGGGGCAGAGGCAAGTGAAAAAAGGTGGTAAAAGCAGCATGGCCAATAGTTTGCACTTCATGGGAGTTCCCAATCTCCAAACTCATAACGAAGCTTTGATCCTTAAGCATCTACACAAGTTCTTCAACAAAAGTTACTTACCATGGGTAGAATTGATTTGGGATAAGTATTACAGAAATGGAAGATTGCCAAATATAAATGCCCCCAAAGGCTCCTTCTGGTGGAGAGATGCTCTGAAGTTGCTAGATAAATACAACGGCTTGGCAAGTGTAATCATTTCTAGTGGACAAACATGCCTTCTCTGGGATGATCTTTGGAATGGTCAAGTGAGAAAATTGCTCTTTCCGGAACTGCACTCCTTTGCAAGAAACAAGTCATTGAGCCTAAGCCAAGCTCATAACTCTAACTCACTCTTGGAACTCTTTAACTTGCCTTTGTCAGTAGAAGCTCACTTGCAATTTCAGGAACTTCAACTTGAACTGTCAACTCTCAGGTTCAATTATTTAAATGATAAGTGGACCTACATTTGGGGATCTCCCATTTTCTCCTCTTCCAAAGCTTATAAATCTCTGTCAGGGCATTCACAAGTTGGGCCAATTTTCAAATGGCTCTAGAAAACTTCATGCCAAGGGAAGCACAAGATCTTCTTCTGGCTAATTCTGAGAGATAGACTAAGCACCAGAAACATGATGCGAAGAAAAGGAATGTACAAGAAGTAGCCGCATACTTCTACATGGCTGGAAGGGCCGCATACTTTATGCCATGTCCACGTGGGCTGCAGATGACACCATCTCATCAGAATTATAGCTGAAAACCATTTTGTTATTTCGTTTTCGTACCATATGCCTGTATATTATTTCAGTTGCTGAAATTCAACAGATGCCTTGTCTCGAGGAGCTCACTTTTGTAACAACAAACAGATTTTTGGAACTTCCCTTTGCGTCTGGAGAGCTCAATCAGATGCAAGATTAATCATCAAGCAGCTCCTGCTCTGGCTACTCTTTTTGTTTCATTTTGGTAGTCGTCTGCCTGCGGTGTGGAATTATGATTTCATCAGAGTGAGTAAATAAACAGCTAAATAAAAGATCGCTGCATAACTGATGTGTATTCTGCAGTTTGGGAAGAGTTGATGGCCGGGACCCGCTTAATTGGTGTGGTGACAAATATTATGAACTTTATTACACTGTTGTGATGGTTTCTGAACACAATAAAACCTTATGGTGACCTTTGTAAGCATGCTAACGATGAGTAGGAAAGGTTACAGTTACAGGTGAACATATATACGTATTTCAAGCAGGTACAGTTTCGTTTTCACCCAAGGTCAAGGGTTGTTTCACTTATGTCAGCAGCACAAAAAGAAGAGAGAGAGAGAGAGAGAGAGAGAGAGAGAGAGAGATGCTTGTTACTCTGTTCGCTCGTGTGTCTGCATACTAGGTTAATTAGTGTATCTTAGCACTAATTGTGTGACACTTAGTAACCTGTTGCTATGTTTCAGAGTAACCTGTTGCTCTGTTTTTATCTGCCACCACGTGTTTAGTTTTTCTTTTTCTTTTCTTTTTGTCATGATGCAGACTCCTGTGATGTCCACATGGGCTGTAGATGACAGTCTTAGAATTGTAGCTGATTACTTTACACAGTTTGTGATGGTTTCTGAACACAATGAAACCTTGTGATACGTACTTCAAGCAGGTACGGTTTGGTTTTCACCGAAGGTCAAGGGTTGTTCCACTTATGTCAGCTGAAAAAAAAACGATATGCTTCTTACTCTGTTCGCTCGTGCATCTGCATACTAAGTTAATTACTGTGTCTTAGCACTAATTGTGTGACACTACAGACCTTTTTATTTTTTTAAAAAAGAAGAGTAACCTTTTGCTCTGTTTCAGAGTAACCTGTTGCTCTGTTTTTATCAGCCACCACGCATTTACTTTTTTTTTTCCCTTTTGTCATGATGCAGACTTTTGTGATGTTGTTAATAAACGCTGTATATGTCATGACAGAGGAAGGTACATCGCTTCTTCTCTGGCCATGTTATGTACGGTTGGTTTCCATGCATATTCAGTGTTTCTTGAACATTAACATGTACAATCTTTGTCTATGTACATCCGTCACAGGATAAGTGCACATCTCCTTATCGAGGAGTCAAACTTTTTTTAAGTTTGGCTAACTATCACCCTCAGGAAGCTCTATGCGTTTTAGTTAAACCTGATTTGTATCTGTTCTTATTTTCTTTGGAGAAATTTTCTGGTATGCTTATCAATACCGGAGGGTCCGATATGAAGACCATGGAATTTGGAGCTGATTTTTTTGTGAGTAGCTTCCCTATGATTTTCTGGTATGCTTATCGATACCGGAGGGTCCGATATACAAGGATGGATTACAACCGGATCACCGTACCTGGACTCAGACGAAGAGAACTAAACCATTGGAGAAAGTACTTAATGACAAGAATCCAAATTATACAATTTTTCTTTCTTTTTTTTGTCCTTTTTCTTCTTTTCCATACCTTCAAAGCAATGGGAGGGAAAGCGATGTTGCCCACCGAAAAACACCATTTTACCGGTATTTAAAACCGAAAAACACCATTTTACCTGCTTCTCAAAACACCGAAATTGTGAAGGGTAAGTTACATCAGAGAGATGCTTCTTGTTTTTCTTTTTATTGATATAATTTTTTTTAAGATGAAGGAAGTATGATTTTTTTTTGTTTTCGTTGATATATGCAGGACTCAGCAATTGTTAGAGCAAGGATAGTAATCCAGCCGGCAGCCGGCTAAATATAATGGCTTGGCTTTATCGGTGTGGCTGGGTGCATGTGCATGTGCATGACATGCAGAGAGCAGGCGCACAACGAATGAGATTCTTTGGTACAAAGCAAAACGCTAGTTTTCCGATCATCGTCGGCTGGGACCAGGCGTTTTAATCTCGTGGGACGTGCTCAGCCGTTTCATTCTCTCTCATTCAGCAAGGATTTTTCTGACGTGGACTGATATACAGCCTGCTTATGTGGCCTTATTATACCTGCTCTTAGGCTCGGCACCCAAAATTCTGTGCAAAATTTTCCTCATGATGAGTAGAAGTGGACTGGCCACCTAAAATACAAGTCCTTTTCTTTTTTTGTAGTTATTAGTGCTCAGAAAGAATCACTACTGGAATCTCGATTTTTTCTGACGGTGCGAAAACCCACGGAAAAATTCGAATACCGTCAGAAAAATATTTTTCTGACGGTGTACCCTCAGAAAAATACCCACAGAAATATAATGACAGAAAAATCCAATTTTTCTGTGGGTTCACCGTCAGAAACAATTTTTCTGTGGGTCTCACACGCACAGAAAAATTGTGTTCGCCCAGATTAAAACTAATTTTTCTGTGTGTTAATCCACACAGAAAAAAGAAATAAACGCACAGAAAAACACATGTTTTTTTTTCTGTCGGTCTAGGTGAACTCACAGAAAAATTCATTTCGTCCCGATTAAAAAATATAATAGATAGCATACATATAAAGATCCAAATGTTCAACACATTCATTAATGACATCCGGACTACATATAGATGATGTTCAAATGATCCGCATCAATACATTCAAAAGCATTACCATCTCATCTCAAAATTCAAGTCTCGGTCAAGATGAGTAAAGTACCAAAGATGCATCATTGAGTCATATTATACCTAAAACTAAAGCTAACAGATTAGAGCCTATCAAGGGCCTCGAGGTACTTCTGCTTGCGGATGTCAAAGAAGATCTTCATGGAGTAGCGGTTGTCCTCCAGCTTGGTGAAGCCGCTGAGGTACCTCTCCACCTCGTCCCCACTCGCCCCCCTGCATGAGGTCCTCAAGTGCTTCATGTTGAAGTAGAAGCCCGACTCTGCTCTAGCCTCGCACGGGCAACCGCAAAAAGCATCAAATCCCAGCTCACCCAGCAAAGAAAGGCTCCAAAAACCCCATTCATGATCATGGCGAGTACTCACTTGTCACCGTCTCCTTGAACTTCTCCTCATCGAGGAACTACAGGATGAGGAAAACCAGCTCCCTGCTAAGAGACGACATGGCTACCCTGATCACAGTCGGAGCCTCCAGCTCTCAAAAACCCGCCTAAACCTCGAGCCACCACCCATGCAGACATTGAAGGTTGCTACTGCTACCTCACTTATAGTGCCACAATACTTTTCCAAAAGTACCACAAACTAATAAACTAGTGAATTCTACATTTTCACAACCACAATTGAACATAGTTTTGCAATTCAGTTAGCCAAATCAACTTGGATCATGATTCCTGGCTGACCAAACCATGCTTTAAAATGTCCCATGGGGAGAAGAAGTCCAGCACTCCTGAGGCATCAAATAAAAATGACCCATGGGGCAAATCAGAAAATACATGGGACAAAAGAAAAGGAAATGGAGGTGATGGTGCCTGGGAGAAGAAGTCTGATGATGGCCATGGCAATTGGGAGCATCCCAGCAATTGGAAATGCCAGGGGCAAAAAGAAGGCAGATGATAACTGGAAATGCTGGAGATGGAATTGGAAGACCAAATGCCAAGTCTAATGCAGGATCCAGTTGGGGTGAGAAAGATAAGATGGAGTCTGATGAGCATCTGAAAATCCCAAAAGAATCAGACACATGGAATACAGGGAAATCAAATGAAAGTCCATGGGATAACACTGATGCACTACAGGATTCTTGGGTTAACAGTATTTCACCTGGAGCAAAAGAACAAGAGCAAAAGAACTCAAGAAATGGCTCAGATTTACCCATTATCAACATGACAACTGCAACTTAATTTCACCTGGAGCTTAATTTAATTCTCTCTCTCTAATAGGAATTGAATCAGCCACGAAACTGTTGCTTGTACCGGGTACAAGCCATCCTAGTTAAGCGACAAAAGAACAAAATATCCCAAGTACCAGCTCTTAAGGTGCTAAAGTGCGAAGTTCTCTAATGGAAACTTGATTCATCATAGCCACTCAAGAGTAGTACAAAACAAAAAAAAAAAAGTCACAAGGTACGTGAATGGTGGAGGCGAAAAGCTGCTGCTCCAACATGCAGGGTGACCTCAAGGACGCATCCTCCCGCACCCTACGGCCTGAACCCAACATCCATGTCTTGGAAAAATAGCAAAGTGCAGATAGATAATTATCAAATCATGGCAGCACTTCTTGTTTCACTCCTCTCATGAAAAATAGTAGTCAGTACCACTCAAAACTAAATACACAGTAGTACATTCAGAAGAGTTATCTTAATTTCTGAAATATGAGGTTCGGACTAGCTAGTTCCAAATTCTTCACAAAATTGGACATGAGATCTGGATATCATCGGATCAGATGCTCTCCAATGATGAGTACAAAACTACTTTTAAAACCCATCAAGGTCACTATCAGCTCAGGGTCTTGCCATTTGGCCTCACAAATGCCCCATCAACATTTCAATGTATTATGAACCAACTCCTCCAACCCTTTCTATGGAAATTTGTATTGGTTTTCTAGATGACATACTTATTTACAGTGCCACCAGAGGATCACCTTCAACATATCCAACAAGTATTTGAAACACTTAGGGCCAATCAGTTTTATCTCAAAGAATCAAAGTGTACATTTGCTCAACCAAGTTTGGAGTACCTTGGACACATTATTTTAGATGCAGGAGTAGCCATTGATCCAGACAAAACCAAGGATATGATCCACTGGCCCACCCCCACTAATATGACTAAATTGAGAGCATTTTTGGGGTTAACTGGGTACTACAGAAAGTTTGTGAAAAATTATGGAATCATTGCCAAGCCATTGACAAATGTCCTGAGGCTCAAGCAATTTCAATGGATTGCTCAAGCACAAGAGGCTTGTGCAGAGGGGATTGGGGTTGTCCTGATGTAGCAGGGGCAACCAATAGCCTACCTCAAAGAAAGCCTTGGGAGAGAAGCATAACAACCTATCTATTTATGGGGAGTTTCTAGCTCTCGTCATGGCAGTGAAGAAATGGAGGACATATTTACAAAGGCAAGAATTTCATATTCTCACTGATCATAGATCCTTGTCCTATTTGAATGAGCAAAACCTTCACCCTAAGATGCAAAGGAAGGCAATGACTAGGCTGATGGGCCTACAGTTTCAAATATTATACAAGTAGGGCAAGGAGAATTTAGTAGCAGATGCACTATTAAGGGTAGCTCATATGATGGCACTGCAAGCTGTCTCTCAAGTGCAACCACAGTGGATCCAAGACGTCCTTAATTCTTATGCTACAGATGCTCAGGCTCAAGAGTTACTGATTAGCAGAGAAAGGAGGGGGGAGATGAGAGTAGAGCATTGTGACCGATAGGGATGTACAGTGAAGAGGACTACCGAAAACCACCTAGATCCATTGGAGGCTGCCATAGTCGCCGTCCACCTTGACGGATCCGGCCGTGGTTGCCGAATCCCACACTCTCTCAGTATGTCACCGCCCTCGAGCCGCCCGGTAGCCACAGACTACCTCCACCACCACCCATGCCAGGCGTCGGATCCGGAGGAGGGAGGGGGAGGGAGGCAGCGGGACCGGATCTAGAGGGAGGGGGTGGCGCCAAGGCCGGATCCGGGAAATCCGGGAGGGAGGGAGGGAGGAGGCGGGGCCAGATCCAGAGGGGAGGGCGGCGGCGTGGCCGGATCCTCGGAGAGAGAGGGGGCGAGGGAAGGAGAGGAGGAGGGGGCTAGCCGCCGGGGAGGAGAGAGGAGGGGCCGCCTTTGGGAAGAGGCGGGGGAGGGGGCCGGCCACCCATGGGATCTGGGAGAGAGCGAGCAGGGCGAAGGAAGGGAGGGAGGGAGCGAGCTGGGGCGAGAGGGGAGGAAGGAGGGAGGGAGCAAGCCCGCCGGATCCGGGAGAGGGAGGGGGCGCTCAGGGTCAGGTCAAAGAGGAAGAAGAAGAAGGGAGGGGGGGGGGCACTGGGGTTCGGGTGGGGAGGGGCGCCTGGGTTCAAAAAGTCGAGGAGGAGGAGGGGGAGGGAGCAGTAGGAAGAAGGGAGGTGGGAGGGGGAGGGGGCGCTGGGGTTCAAAAAGGAGGGGGAGGGGGGCTCCTAGTGGTCGTTTGAATTTTTCTGTGCGTTTTAAAATAACCCACAGAATAATTATGATTTTTTCTGTGCGTGCATGCATTTTTTCTATGCATTTTTAAAGAACCGACAGAATAAGTTGTATTTTTCTGTGAGTGCTGATTTTTTCCGTGTGTGTATTTTCACGCACAGAAAAATCATATAATCATATAATTATTCTGTATATTTTGAAACCGACAGAAAAATTGCAATTTTTCTGTGTGTGTCGAAAAAAACGCACAGAAAAATTCATCACCCACAGAAATATTCGAGTTTCCAATAGTGAATATTCAATTTGCATAATTGTGCTCATGACTCAGCACTGACGAGGCAACTAGTGTACAGTGCAGCGAGATCACCAATTTTTTTAACATTGTTCCGTAGCTGTTGACATAAAAATGTTGCAACGTGATCTACACATAGCAAGCCGGAAGGATCTAAAAAGGAACAGGAGCCTCACAGATCCGCTTAGCTTCAACACCCGGATCCAAAAGATACTGAAAAACTCGAACGGCGTGCCAATCAATTTGACCTGCAATTGACAAGGAAGGAAATTTTATCAGTAACACAAAGGTGGAACATGTCGGTTTTGTCCCATATAGTTCCAATAATGTATGGCTTAGCAAGCCAATAAATGAATAACTATCGACTAGACAGTCGATATCCGACGATCATTAAATGAAGTTTTTATAATAAAGAATGAATCGGTTGTTCATATATAAGTTAAACTTTAAATTGAAGTGTGTTTTATGATTAGGAATAAACCAAGACAGAAACAAGTACAACACACTCAAATACGAATAAGAATCGATATCTTCATTATATGAGCTCTTACTTTAACCAAACATCCAATTCAAGGAAATATGAAGATCATAGTTTATACCAATTGACCGTTAAACGCAAACAAGCTTATGAATTGTCACCTCTAATCTACCATGATTAACAGTGAGGGTCGACCGGATCGATGCAGCTATGTTAATCATAATAAACTTTGAGATAAAAATCCATGAGCTTATCCATGTTCAAAAATCGCATGATATAATCATTTAAATACAAACCAATCTATAATCGAATTGAATCTCGATCTATCATGTTCATCAGTGAGGGTCGATCGTTTCGATGCAGCTATGACATCCATGACAAACCTTAAAACAAATCTTTTATAGATCTATATATATTCAAGAGATCGCAATATGTGAACTTTGTACGTATCAACACATGAAAATCGGCTAAACAAATTGATTTCTACATGGAAAACAAACGAACGCATGACCCGCCCATAGTTCGATTTGCGGCTACCAAAATTCGATTACGTACTTACGTTAGTGAGGTGTTTGTTTCGATGCAGCTATGATAAAGACCATAGACCAAGGCTCGATAGCCTTTAAACCTCTTTATGGATGACTCACGTTTGAATGCCGCCCATGCACGATCAAAACCGAAATAAAACAGCCAATGAAACATAATTCATCACTTAGACTTATATAAGAACATCACGTTATATCAAGATTAAATGATGAACCCAAAGAATATGAGAGGCCGATCTAGATCGATTTTAATTGGACGAGTTGATATTGCTTTGAGAAAATAATATTAATGAAATATATCAAAGAAAATCGGTAACTTAATGAATCTATCCAAAAGTGCCACCTTTAGATAGAGCCGATAACTTGACCTTAATCTAGTTCGAGCGTGGAGGTCGACTTAACCGATGCGTACCAGTACAAGAACTAAGCAAGAGTCGATAACTAATCTATACTACCACTGCAAGAGATCAATCACCGA